CAAGTATCTGCCAGAGGAAGGACTGCAGAGACCAGATGGATGAGTAATCTGATGTTTCACTGCTGGGGTAGATACACCCAACTTTTCTTTAAATAGTTTGGCTCACGTACTGGTAGCAGTGAACCTGTGACAGCGCAGAGCTTAGTGTCGGCTGTAAAACCCAGGTTGGGGGCTGGGCAAGTACTCCAGTAATTAACCTGACTTAAGCCATGGGCTGTCACAGCAACAGAGCTAGCAGTGTCTGAACTGTGTGTGCTTGCAGTAGAGCATGTCTTAAGTGACCTGTTGTTTGTACCTGGTACTGGAGGAGGTGGGAGATTTAACAGGAGGGACCAATGGTCTAGTCTCCTTTGGTAGGACACTGCCTATGGCTTTTTTGATTAATGGGAGGTTGAGGAATGGTGGATAGCTCCCTTCTTACCAACAATCTTAGAAAATATGTTGCAATAATACTAATTGCCTCTTGCACTGTGTTTTTCCATCCAAGAATCGAAAAACAATTTGCAGTAGTGGGTGAGGGCTAGTAGCTTTCTTTTATAGATGGGGAAACAGGTCCTGGCACAAGGGCATGCAGAGGCTTTGTGGTAGTGCTGTGCCTAGAAGCCAAATGCTCCTCTCCCCAGTCACAGCCCCCTCCCAGTGACATGGTGCTATAGGTACACTGCGTTCTCTGTGTCACGAAGGATGAAGCTCTGGCAGATTGATCGCACTTCAGGAATGTGTCCTCTGAAGAGCAGTTCTGGAGTTAGGTCCATGAAGCTGTTTTCTTCCTCAGTATGGGAGGTGGAGGGAGGGTATGCAGGCTGGGGCACTGGTGTTCTCCCTTTCAGAGGGCATGCTGGCATGGTGAACTTCCCTTTGGACAGTGCATAAGAGAAGGACAGTAAAGGTTTCAATGGATGACTCCTGAAACCCTTGGGGCAGTGTGTCACTCACCAGAACAGCCCTTTGGTGTCACTTCTGTGTGTCCAGTTTAGTCTGTCTGTCCTCCAAAAGACAGACAGACATTTTAAAGTCCTCGATGACTGCCTTTCCACCTGTACAGCAAACCGTATCTCCTCATGCTCTTCTAGCTAGCACCACCCTACAACACCAGCCCTAGGCACCCATGAGGGGCAGGGCAGAAGAGTGATAAAGCTACACCTCCCCTGGAAGGCAAGCAGGCTTTCCCACGCAGCACAGCTGATCTGCACTGGTGCTGGCATGTAGAATGGAAGGCATGGCATCTTCTACTTTCCACCCTGCCTCATGTGGCCAGAAACAGGAACAGGCATTCAACAGGCAAATTAAAGTGGTTCACACCCCTGTGTAATGTAGATGCTCCTATTTTGGTTAAGAGGGCATTATTTTGCCACAGTTTAAGTCACCAACAGGCTCAACTAAATCTGGTTGAAACTACAGTAAGAGTCTCTCCAGATCTGCTGCCCAGACTTGATGAAATTCGGTTCATGCCTTAAACTCAGTGGCCATAACTCTACTGAGGGACAAACCTTGAGTTTCTGAGTGGGGACCTTGGAATCAGTGTCTGTTGCCCTGAGGCAGGGAGGTGGGAAGAAATGCAGATGGGATTAGCAGAGGCTCCTGCAACAAGAAGCCAAAGCCTCCTGCAGGAAATTTGCTGCAGGAGGGTGGCCAGTGCTCCTTTGAACACCCAAAGATGCTGGGGATTGCTGGGCTCTCCTGAAGCAGAGGTGGGCACTGAAGGAACTGCTGGGCAGGTTCCTGGGAAGGGTCAGTCACTGCTGTCTCCTGCTGAGGAGGGTTGTGTTTCCTCTGCCATTGTTCCTGTTTGTGATCATGCCATTGTGTGCCTGGTATGATGGGGCCCTGGACAGTTGCCTCTTTGGCACATCGTCTCAGGATGCTGCCTCAGTGGGAATGGAGAGCTGTTACCACTCTGATGCATATTCTATACAGATGTACTGTCTGGCCCTGCAAAGTACAGCACTATAGTACTATACTACAGTACTATACATTCTATACAGATGTACTGTTGGCTTGGCTCCCATCTGCTACTCCTCTGGACACAAGTGCAGTGCTCAGCATTTGAGAGGAGGGAAGCATGACACCTTCTGCAAAGCAACCTGGTAACAGGTCCCAGAATGGAGGGGCTTATGGTGGGGGGGATGGACACAAAGTTGGGGGGTGGGCATGTCAGAGCAAGGCTTGGGCTATGGGAAATCTTCAGAAAGCCATGACATAGGGCGTTGCTCTATGCCAGAGCAGACACAAAGGGAAGCACCTGCACCCCCTTCCAGATAACACACTGATATTTTGCCAATATATAAATACAGAAGAATAGATGCCCTCTAGCTCATTATTCGGGTGGATTGTGGGAGCTCCCTCAGCTATTTCTTGGAGCAATGGGGTCAATACTTTTTGTGGGAGACATTTGTTAGCAAATCAGCAAGGGATTTTGCAGTCTGAATCTAAACTCCTCACTGTACGTGATATTGTTGGGCTGTTTGGGGAGGCGGGGAGTAACAGAGAGAATGTCTGCTGTAAGGAGCACCAGAACTGCTCTGCAGTCCCCAGGAGCAAGGGAGGGACAAGGGATTATGCTGAAAGGCTGTGGGGGTGAGAAGTGGATGCTCCTAATCCAGTGCTCTTATGCTCCCACAACACTCCTCAGGGAAGCTCATCCTTCAGTGACATTTGCCTCCAGCAGAACCTCATTCCCTCCCCGCAGTCCTCCTGCACTCCCAGCCTGGCCCCAGGAGGTCTACTCAACCCAAGCACTGGATGCATCCTCAACTCAACCTCTTCATCAAGTCCCTGCAGGCAAGGACACTGTATTGCTGGGCTGTGACAGCTGCCAGTGGGAAGACTCTGTGAGCTGTCTCCTCACAGCTGACATCCTTGCTGAGTGCCCAGACAGCCCTGCTCAGTGGGTGCTGGAGCCCTGGCTGTTGCTGCTACTACTTCTGAGGAACGTGAAGGCCAGGAACTGAGAGGATTGGCAGTATCTGTATGCCCTGCAGGGAGGGATGCTCTGCTGCTGTTACTGCTGTGGAGGAGAGCTGAGGCCTGGCTGTACCCTGAGCTCCATAGCTCTGCAGAGAGAGATGCTCAGTTGCTATTACTGCTCCTGGATCCATCCCCAGCCCTGAGACACCAGGAGCTCCTGAGTTGTGGAGACTGGGCTGAGCACCCCATTGCTCCTGTTGCTGGGGAGAACTCCAATGTGTGGATCCTAGAGGATAAAGTAAGACCCGTGAGGTGATGGGAACAGGGACATTTTATGTCCACAAGCTCATCTAATATTTCCCTAACTCTAGAGCTGGTCTAATAAAAGCTATTACCAAACAAATCCTGCTTCTCATAGTATCATAGTACTTGGGGTCGGAAGGGACCTAAATAGATCATCAGGTCCAATCCCCTGCCCTGGGCAGGAATGGGTGCTGGGGTCAGAACACGCCAGCCAAATATCTGTCCAGCCTCCTCTTGAAGACCCCCAAGGTAGGAGAGAGCACCACCTCCCTTGGGAGCCTGTTCCAGAGTCTGGCAGCCCTAATTGTGAAGTAATGTCTCCTGATGTCCAGCCTGAACCTTCTCTCTAACCATTTGTGGCCATTATTCCTAGTAACCCCAGGTGGTGCCGGGGGAACAGAGGCTCCCTGGTCCCCCCTGGTGAGTTTATAAATGGCCACCAGATCCCCTCTCAGCCTTCTCTTGTGGAGGCTGAATATGTTCAGGCCCTTTAGCTTCTCTTCATAGGGCCTGCCTCGCTGTCCCTTGACCATGCGAGTGGCCCTCCTCTGGACCCTCTCAATGCTATCCACATCCCTCTTGAAGTGAGGTGCCCAGAACTGGATGCAGTACTCCAAATGCAGCCTGATCAGTGCCGCATAGAGGGGAAGTATCACCTCCCTGGACTTGCTTGCGATGCATCTTTTAGATGCATGACAAGGTGTGGTTAGCCTTACTGACTGCTTCCTCACTTTGGCGGTTCATGTCCATCCTTGAGTCAACAATGACTCCAAGATCCCTTTCTGCCAAGCAGAACACCCTTCTTGTCAACAGAAAGATCCCTTTCTGTTGACAAGAAGGGTGTTCCCCAGCTTGGTTCTCCTGATTTCTGAAGGCAGCTGGGAAATGTGGGTGGGTTGACTCCTACTTTCTTATTTCACAGAAAAGGTCCAGGAGGCCAAACTGACCAGGGTTCATCCTGAAGCTGCCATCCCGGGGTGTCTTGGGGTGCTGAAACTATTCTAAAGAGCAAGCTCAATCTCACCTGTTAGTGTTTCATTTATACTTTCTTTGTTCACAACAACTTGGCCAATCACATATTCTAGATAGCTGTTATCATCTTGCAGCCACTTTTTCTCCCACTTGCTTATTTTATCCAAAAAAATGGGATTTCAAAGCTCAACAGGCTTGGAGCCATCCCATAGTAACCAGAGCCTGGTACAGAGCATATGCTGCCTGTATCCATGATTTGCTCCAACCAAGCACCAGGAGGGACTGGAATTAGGCATTTGTAGAAGCATGCATTTATAAGGAAGTCATTAGCAATGCAGAAAGATCCATATATGTCCAAGCAGCTGCAGCTGAGAAGGGAGAAGAAAGTTTAGCTTTGCCAGGGCAGCATTAAATGTCACCTCTAAAGCTGGGGAACATTTGAGCACAGAGGCTGCAGCATAACATGGATTTTGTCACTGACTCTCATGGGTACCCTCCCACCCAACCTCCTGCTCAGGATCCCTTGCCTTCAGCTCTGCTGGTGTCCTGTTGGGGGAGATGAGACAGAAAATAGCAACTGTGAAATGTCCTTCCCAGCTTCTTTTTTGGGGGTCCTTTCCTGAGTGATCATCCATGTGTCCCCCAAGCCATCCACTGGGGAGCCTCTTCTCTTGCATGTAAACTGTAAGGCGCAGCCTAGTTTGGGACCATCTTTATGTTTAAGGTTTTTACTGGCCTTAAAGTGGCACAACAGCACCCCTGGGTGGTCAGACTGCAGAGGCATCTCCAAAGCAATGAAAAAACCTTGTCATGCTTACCATTTCCTGGGTGTCGCTGATCACCAGGAGATGAGCTCTCTGCAGCACAGGACTCCTGGCTGGAATTCCAGTCCTTTCTCTCCTTGCAAAAGAGGTAGCAGTTGTCCCCGTAGCCCACCCACAGCTCGGGGCAGCACTGGCAGGAGTCACCGGTAAAGAATCATGACAATGGCTTTGTTGTTTTACTTTCCCCTCTGTAGGATCTCAGGGAATGTGGCAGCCTGGATAGCTCAGGAATCACACATCTGCTTGCTGATGTGGAGCCACCCCTTGGTAGAAGGTGACAACTGCAGAGAGCAAGGACTGTGATTAAGGCAGGAAGTGGAGTTGGGAGCAAAGGTGTAAATGCCTCCACAAGGGCCTTTGTGAACTTGCTGTGCTTACTGTTAGCCCCAGAGCTGTACCTAGGGGTGTGCAGGGCCCGGGGCATATCAGCCTGCACGGGTCTGGCGGGGTAAGGGAGGGTGATGAATGGCCGAAGCCAGACGGCGATGCTCAGCAGCAGCGGTGCATGGTGGCCGCAGCAGGGCCTGTATAGCACTGTTCATGGGCCCCCCCAAAGTGCAGGGTCTGGGGCCATTGCCCTGATTTGCACCCCCCCCCGGCCGCCCTCCCCAGGGACAGCCCTGGCTACCCCTGACTTTCACCACATAGATGTCAGTGGAGTTCCTCAGAACTGAGATAGCAGAACCTACACTCAGTAAGTGAGAGAGGGACTGCAAAGAGGGTGGGGGAAAAGGGCTTATACACAGTGTGATTGTTGCACTGATTGAGGTATGAGGTAGCTGTGATCACAGCTTAGAGTCCTTTACATAAGGCATGGACACGATATGGTTTAGCACCTTCTTTGTATATTGCACTCAGTGTCACACTCAGAATATTTGTATTTCCTAGATTAAAGTCTGCAAAGCAGGCAAATCTGCAAGGATCTTTCAGCACCGGTCTTCCTGTAACTGGGGAGCACAGCTTGGGTAGAGAGGCTCAGATTACCCCAAGACGCATACAGGTATACAACAGGCAACAGTGGACTTTGGTTTATGTTGGTGCCTAGCTAGAGTAACTCCAGCCTCCTCTAGGGGATCACTCCACATTTATGCCAGTGTCATGGAGATCAGAATCCAACCTTCTCTGCCTAAGTGAACTGAGAACAGACCTCCCATCACTTTCAGGCTGTTGATGCCCAAAGCTGTTTTGCACACTTACTTGATCTCCAGACTACCAGTACTACCCCTAGAGCCAAGCAGCACACGAGAGAGGACTGGGAGCCGGGGGCTAGAAGAGAGAAAATGGGAACCAAGGTAAATGCCCATTGTGTACGTAGCACTGGACAGTGTAGAAATGGGCCAGTCTATTACCAGCACCTGTGTGCAAGACAGCTTATAGTGTAATGTATAACCAAGCAACCAGTGGGAGTACTACAGCTTCTGTTCCTGGAAGGGTTTAGGTGTGACACACTATACAGAGCTCCCTCTAGTTTTCTCAGTAGTATAGTCATACTCTGTGGGCTATGCACACATCAACAATGCTACAGAACTGACTTGATGCTTCACAGTCCCTGGGGATGCTGTGCTGATTGGTAGTGGCATAAGAAACACTGGCTGGTATTGGTTGGTGAAGCTCCTTCCTCAGAGCCAGTAGTGACCCCAGAATGGTACCACGCATACTGCGCATTTGGCAGGAGGATGGAGTGCTCCTGCAGTTGACTTGGTCCTGACTCCAGCGGACATGTCTATTTGTGTGCTTTAATACACATTAGCCTATTTGAATGTGCATTAAAATGTCACAGAAAATGTCGTTCACTTTCTCTAATGCTCATTCAAATAGGTTAATGCACCTTTTTCTAGTACCTCACAATGGGGGTACTAAATGTAATGCACATTAGCAAAAGTGCATTAATAAACATGTAGACTCACCACGCAGTGACTGCAAGGTGCTGGAGGGACAGGCTGGTGCAGCTGCAGCTGCCTCCTTGTAGACAGAAAGTACCAACAGGGCCACTCCCACCTACTTATTTAATGAAACCCTGGCACTTTTACAAGGAGAGGATTTGACCTCAGCATCCAGGATGCACACATGGTCACTGCCCTTTCTATAGTCTGCTTGATGTTCTTCTGTCTCTGCTGCCTTCAGACACAGCACCTGTATCACTGAAGTTTGTGGCTGGGCACTTGACATCCCTGCCAGTTCAGGAGGTCAGGCAGCCTGCTGGCAGGTCAGGGCTCATTGCAGAGTCAGCTGACCCAGGGGGCTGGCAGGTGAGGCTAGGGCTGGTTAAGCGAGTCTCCTGATGGAAGGAGGGCTGGATGTAGACAGGGTATAAGCCCAGAGCCTGAGACTAGGGCTGGCTATAACATTTTGGGAGCTGGTGAAGGAACATTACCTAGCATGAAAGCTGCTGCTCCTGAATGCAAACAAAGAGAATGACATCTGGAGGTCTGGGTAAGAACTAAGATGATGGAGAAGGTTCCTGGGGACCCACTGTGGGGTCCAGAGCCCTGAGAAGGGGGCTGAATGCCTGGGCCTCTTGGGAGGCCAGATGAGCTCAGAGAGAGGTGGAGCCTTGGTGAGCAGCCAGGCAAGCCCCAGGAGAGGGGCTGAGTGTCTATGGGTCTATTTAGGAGCCAGGTGAGCCCCAACTGAGGGGCTGAGTGTTTGAGAGACCTAGTGGAGGGTCTGTGTAAACCCAGTGAGTGGAGCAGAATACAGGGGCCTATTAAGGGTCTGGATGAGCCCAGAGAAGGAAGGACTGTGTAGGAAGACCTACAGAGGGCTCCAGGTACTCCCAGAGAAAGGGAGAGATCTATGGAGGGGCCTGAGACGGTGGACCCGCACTGATGAGAGGGCTGACAGCTGGAGGACTGACCCTGGGAATCTCAATTGGCCTGTGCAGTGAAATAGACTATGGCAGAGGTGACCAGAGACAGGAGAGCCTGGAGTTCTTGACTGCCTCAAGGCAAAGCCAGGGCCTAGGAGAGGCTGAAGGTCCATGTGTGGCCACTGCTTAGAGGAAGGGGTCAAGGGGTGTGCAGCCTGGGATGACCATGGCTGAAGCTAGACCATCTGAGGAAGAGGGATCAAGGACAGGGGTCCAAGGGTGATCTGGGGCCAGAGATGGGGGGACTCAGCGTGGAGATGGAGCCAGGGCCAGGGGGCTGCTGGTTCCAAGCCCAGGAAGGGTATAGGACATCTAGGGGGAGCCCCAAGAGGCACAGGCAAAATAAGGTAGGCCTGAGGACCAGCCCTGGGTAAGACCTGAAACTGTACCCTACCAGGACCATGTGGGCCTAGAGGCCCAGCAAGGGGTCTGTGGATTATAGTGAGGCCCAGCAAGTATAGCGGGACCAGAGTGGTCCAGTGAGGGGCTGGGAATGGAGTGCAGGACCAGAGGGGCCCAAGGGGCTGGATAGTCAGGCCCAGTGAATAGCCTGAGGCATCTAGTGGGGTCCAGCAAGCATAGTGAGACCAGAGAGGTCCAGCAGCCCAATGAGGGGCCAGGAATAGAGTGCAGGACTGGACAGGTCTGAGGGCCTAGAGAGCATCCGAGAAAGTGGAGAACTGAATGGGTTCAGGATGAGGGGACCAGAAGGGGCCGGCAGACAGAGAGGGCTGGGAGAAAGACCAAGGGGCCTTATAGCCTAGAGAATGGTTGTGAGAGACTGAGAGGCCAGAGGAGAGACTGAGGAGTCTGGCAACCTGAGTGGGACTGAGAGAGAAACAAGGGGTCAGAAGGCCCAGAGTGGGGCTGAGAAAGGCCAAGGGATTGGAAGGCCCAGTGAGGGACTGTATCGCCAATAAATAGAACATCTGTAAGGATGCCACCTGCGAGGCATGGGACATGGTGTTGGGGAGGTATGGAGCCATGTGATTGGCCCATAAGGCCACAATCATAATTCAGGTGGTCATTATAATAAGATCAGGGAAGCCTCCCATATATCTATATATCTCTAAACATCAAGGCATGGCAGATGAGAGTGGGGCAGACTGCCCTTAGAGTGGGGTATTCAAAAAAAATGTTGGGTACCCTGTGGCAGTTACCACGTGCTAAGTGTAATATGTAACAAGGCCACAAAGGAAACAGGTAGTTAGCTGTGTTAGTCTGAAATGAGCCAGAAGGCAGGGCAGGGTGGTACTGTAGGACCATGTTGCAAGTTACACTTAGGATGTGCATTTAAAATGCAAGTATCTACATGTTCAAGCAGTAAAACACATGCTAGGTGCAATCATATCCTAGCAAGGTTAAAACTTTTAGCAGGAGGAGCATCTCCAGATCGTACTAAGTAACACATGTTCAATTATCATGGTACTGCTCCATGATGATAATGTAAGTTCAGGATTCTGCTGTGGTGCTGGGTCTGGAATGGACAATCAGCTGATTCTCAGTCCCAGCCCTAGGACCACACCAGAGCCGGTTGACAGCTGCCAGCAGCAGAGACCTGGCTTACTCCATCGACTCAGTAGCAGGAACGGCACCCTCTCCAAGTCCTGGTGCCCTGTGTCTCCCTCCATCTGCTGCCAGAGACGGAGACCTGGCTTACCCTGGTATGCTGGGGACAGGTGCTCCTGGGCTGTACGGTGCTGGCCATGAAGTGGGGAAGATGTGGGCTCCAGGTGTGAGGGTTGCATAGTTTCATGGGCAAATTTGCGAGCTGTGGCACCTGGTGCCAGGGTCAGTGTTGAGGAGGGAGCACAGCTGGTTCCAGCCTTGTCCAGAGTTGGAGAGCAGTGATAGATAGGGTAGGGAGTTGAAAGCAGAGCAGTAGACTGGACAGGGAGCACAAGGAAGGGGCAGAAAGCAGAGAAGTGGATCAGGAATGAGAAGGGAATTGAAGTGGCACTCAGAGAGGGGACAGGGTTTAATCTGTGGCATGCCTGCAGAAAAGGTCATCCCCCACTGCCCTAAGGTGTCACCCTGCCCTGCCTTGAACCTGTCATACTAATGAAATCTCCAGGAAAGTGGGGTCAGCCTGAGAACCTAAAAAAAAAATAAAAATAAATCCCTGATGTTAGGTAAGCAAAGCAGGACTGACATGCTCTCTTGCTTGTAAATAGCACATAGCTTAAGAGGGAGATAAGCATCTCCCAAGATGTAACATTCTGACCACACAGTTTAGATAAGGTGGATGTTCAGCTTGTTTGGCTTCCTGGTGGGGTCCACTTGACTAAGAAGGAAAATAAAGCCCAGAAATTAGGATCCAGGTGTCTTTGGTATCACCTCAGATGTGGTACAAGAATGACCTTCCCCTTCTCAGTTTTGCCAATCTTAGCACAGAAGTATCCAACATGAGCAAAGAAAAATGTAAAGAAACCTGTGTGTGGGGTGGCGCAAGGGAAGGGGCAGAGATGGCAAACATCTCTTTGAAGTGCAACAAAACCCCACCCTCTCCTTCCCTGTTTTGCCTGTCTCCCATGGGATAGACCTGAAACACTGTCAGAAGACATATCCAAAATCAGAGTGCCACTTCGATTGGACCCCCTGGAAGGCTGGGACAGACTTAGACAAGCTTTCCAGTGCCATGGAGTCTTTTTCTTCTGGTCATCCCCAACTCCAGACATGGGACTCAGACTCACCTCCCCCATCAATGAGGCACTAATAATGATATTACTAATTCTATGCAATAGGAGTAACATTTGTACTATGAATATGCAGGTTCCCTTATTCATTATTCATGAGGTGGATAGGAGGGCAGTGCCTGTAGCTCCCTAGTGCTGAGCCCGGATCAGGGTGGGGGGTGATGGGAGGGGAGCCCTGCACAGGGCACGGAGGCGGGGGGAGGAGGCTGCTGCTATAGAAGCCGTGGCATTGGGCTGTCCCAGGGCCAAA